AGCGTTTAATTAAGCACTATGTGCCAGGCATTGTGCTACGTGCTGGGGAGACAATGAAAAAAGTAAACCAGTCCCTACCCTACAAAAAGACATGCAAGATTCTCACAGAGTAGATGAAAGGTAACCTTAGAGAAGCCTCTAAGAAGCTGGGGGGTGGAAACACCTAGAAGGTCCTCCTGCAGAAGCCAGGGTTTTTAAAAGGCAGAGCTGAGGAGAGAGTGGCAGTGGTATACAGTACAAGACACCAATTAGGAGGAAATCTTTCAAGTAGGAAGATCAGGTAAGAGAGACAGAATGAGGAAAATCAATAGGGCTCAAGTGACTAGCTATATATGGGGCAAGATGGAAGACCCCACCCCCTTCCCAATCAGACTTTTATCCTAACAATTTATTCTCTGAAGTTCAACCAAGTAAAATAATTGTTTTAACAACAAATAAACCAACCTGATCAGTAGGTGTCTATTACTGCACAAATGTGATGCTGGGAATTGTATAAAATGATAACTGTACTTTGCTCACTCAGACTTTCAATAATTAAAGGAGAAAAGATCCTTAAAGCCCTCGTGAAGAGAGTCCTTACAGACTTCAGTCTACGACCCCAGCAGCTCACAGCTGCTAGGAGCTGGACAATTTGACCAGACTGCCCTCATTTCCAATACAATTAATCATGTGAAGTTTCAAAACTGTGATTTGCTTTATTCTTCAATCCTGTTTCAAGATTAACTCAGAATCCACCCATTGGGCAAGTCCACTTCCTCTTCTAGGTCTGGTTGTCATCATTATTATGGTAAGGAGGCAGGCCAGAAACTTTCCAAATAACTCTTAGATCTTTATGGGAGTAAGAATAGCATTTGTGATGTCAAACCAAACTTGAATTACAAGGATCATTAATCCTCAGCAGAAGCTGTAAACTATTTTACCAAAGTCAGACAAATCTTTGCCTGCTTCCATGGTATATTTTTAAAAACGTTTTCTATCACCTCAACTTTGAACAAGCAACTACACCTCCCTACGGCCATCCTGAAATACAACTGGGAAACCTGCCTTTCACCTTCCACAGCCACCATCCCCAAAGCAAACTAAATAACCTTCCAAGAAACTATGCTTTGTTCTTTAAAAATAAAAAAGGAAACTTTAATCTGACTCCTAGTAGAGCAATGCCAAACACTACTTCTGGACCACATTTAAAATCACTGGAGCCCTAAAATGTTCACGCTGGAAAGTACTGTGATATACATGAGGGCTAGGAGGGACCTCAGACATTGGTCATCTTGACCAATTCCCTTATTTTACAGATGAGGAAAGTGAGGCCCCAAAGTAACTTCCCAAGGTCATAACAGGTAGGTAGTTAAACCCACATCAGTGACTTATAACAGTGAGTGCTAAACCCCAGAATGCTTGACTCCTAATTCAGAGTTTTTCCCACTACATGACGCTGTTCTCAATCCTACCACTGACTCTGGTATTGTTAAAAATACATTATTATTAAAAATATGTTATGCATTAATTTTAAATATGTCAAGTGCCAGAACTGTTCCTTCTAGTAAACTCAAAATTTCCTTACTTCAACTTACTACAAGCCTTTAACAAAGTTGTGACAGGCAAAACCCCCAGAGTGAAATGTAACCCTTATTTTGGACTTAAAAAGTAATGCAATTCACAATCTAGATTTCCTGAGGCTCTAAGGGGGGTCACCAGGGAGTCAGCATTCATATCCCCAAGATAAGATGGCTTCCAGGGAACAGCAAGTGAGTTAATTAAGTCGTTTTAGTTGGACACAGCCGGCAACCTCCAACTCTCATGAATCATAAGTGATTCAATTCCTTATATGGCCAAGCACTCCCTCCTTCACCTTTAGCCTGAGACAAAGCCAAACTAACTTAGTTACTTACCAGGGCTGTGGACAAATAAGTATTTTCCATCCAGCCTGTTCCAGTCCTACCAATTGTTCTGCACTAACTACTACACACTTCAGGGGCAGGTAAAAAACAAGAAGCAGGCCAGGAAAGTGGGAAGGGAAAAGAAAAGCTCTGCTTTCACCATCATAAGCTGAAGGGTTGCTCTAAAAAAGTCCTGACAAGTCAGAAAGGAATGTTTCTGGTGGAAAAGAGCCAGACATCCATCCAGACACTTTTGGCAGCTCTAAAACAAAGTCAAGGAACTGTTCGTTCTGGGGACTTCCTCACAGTCAGTCTCTAACCTCTGTGTTTCCCACCACTACAGACCCCCCAATTAGCAAGAGACAATCTAAAAGGATTTCAAAAGGCCAGGTGTAGCAACCTGAAAGTCCAGTTTCCTCTGTGAAAGGGCTCCATTATGACTTCAAACACAACAATTAAGCTTCCTTCAACATCAAACATATTGCCTTAATACATACATACTAATCCTTAATATATCAAAGCTAAGTTTCCAAACTAATCTCTCCTAAACACTCCCCTAAACCCAGCTGAAGCATAATAATTACCTAAACCAGGATGCAGTGATTCCAAAGACCACCAGACAAATTTAAAGAACAGCGTAAATTCTGAGTGCAGAATATCTGTATACAATAACCAACCAGGGAACTATACAGACATGTGATAATAGAAAAAGGAACAATGCCTCCCCCTTCAATGACATGACTCTCCCTCTGGGCCTCAGTTTCATCATATGTCAGAGGTTAGGACTACATGACCTGAGTCAAGTTCGAATATTCTAAGATTCTATTCCTTTTATCACCCTTACTACGACTTGAGTGGTACCTCCAAGTTCAAATATTCTCAGATTCTATCTCTCTCTCAAAGCCTAGGAGAAAAAATTCAGAATGCAAAATCATGAATGGCCCTTAAAAAAACGTGTAGTTCCAATTCTTCAGTTGACAGATAAAGAAACTGAGGCATACTGGTGAAGTGACTTGTCAAGTCAATGATAGGGTCAAGACTAAAATCGACTCCACTCCAAATCCTTTGGCACTTTATTAACTTGGGGCTCCTTTGTGCTTTTCACGTTACTTATGTCTTCCACTAGATTCAATTACCAAAAAGAAAGTAAGCCTCTCAGACAATTCACTATAAACAGCAGGACTCTTTGAAGGCTGGCTCAGTGGCTTAACTGGTGTGACTGTCCTGGCATATGCCACTAAAGAATCAAAAACAAGAAAAGCCACATCTTTTTTAAACCCATACTTGGTGTTAAGAAGGCCCAGGCTTGTGTATGAAGTGACTGGCACATACAGGTGGCTACCACAAGGCCCGGGGACCCGGTACTCACTATTCCTGACTGCTGTAAAAAGTTTCTTAGCCTGCAGTTTGGAAAATGACAAATTCTTCTTAGCCAGATTGCCTTTTGCTTATTATAACTAGGCATTCCTGCAAAAATGTCCACGTTCCAATTTTTCAGAGGTCATAAATGAGCACATTATAAATTTTTAAGTTCTTAGCATCTCCTTTCAGCAAAGTGACTCCAGTGCCTAATTCTTCTAGCCATCTCACTACTGTCTTTTACAAGCTGACTGTTTTAGAAATAGAAAACATATCTATTTTCCTTTAAATCTCCAGAAAAATGTAGTTCTCTTATCCTAGAGAATGAATTGTATTTTTTTTTTTGCTTTTTGCTGAGGCAATTGGGGTTAAGTGACTTGCTCAGGGATCCTATCTTCTTACTACCTTCGGTTATATTGCACTGAACTGTCCAAATAAACCTGACCTTAGATAAGAGAGGGCATATGTTCAATCAGCCTAACCGTGAAATACATTTTTTAACAGGTCAGCAGGTATGGACACATGATCTGCTATTGTACAACTTTTCAACTCAGCTGGCTGGAGGAGTGGGGGGAGAAAATCTTGTTTCCTGTTCAGGTTTTGGAACATGGCTGGCAGCCTAAGCAGGTAGACTTAAGTTTCCAAAACATGAGCAACAGCATGAACCACCTTTAACCACCTGTATCTCATATGGCTCAAAGGAAATCCGACAAGTTACAGTTGGGGTTTTGGCAGTTCTTGTAGAAACAAGCTACATACCCTGGAATAGTCAGAAGCTGAACAAAACCCTGGGCGGCTATGGACCAGTGGTTCACCATCAGTGTCTCAATGAAGAAAGCATTTCTCCACAGGGACAGATGGTGCTCACTATGGCCCATTTCTGGTCCCTGCCTCTGCCACTCACGAATCTTATTTCTAACCCTGCTGTTCTCATCAACAATTCAGCCAAAACCAAAGTTCTCTTGCCCAACCAACAGTCTCCAACGCTACATCCAAAGCCCATCCCTCCTCTGTCTTTGGAACTCTTCCATACTGTGGCTGAACTTTCATTTCCTATGTTTAACATGATTATACATCTATAGCTTGCTGTCTTGGGGACGAGAGAGGGGACAAAAAAATCTGGAACTCAAAATCTTAATGAAAGTCAATGTTGAAAACTAAACTAATTAATTAAAAAATCCTTTTATTTCCTTGAGTCTCCTCCATTACGATGTACTTGGGAAATTTATTTCCTCCTTCAGCACTTGTCTCACTCAAAGGGCACGGTCAGCATTTGTGTCCTATACCCCACACTGGTAACCTTGCACCACATGCCACCTACAAACAGGACGAAGCCTCATGCGGTGCTTTTCAGATTTACAAATCAATTTATATCCATTTCCTCATTTGATCTTCACAACATCCCTGTAATGGGGAAACCGAGGCCGAGAGGTTAACACTCCAGGTCCAAGGTCTGAGAGGCCAAACACCAACTCGAGTTTTCCAGTCTCTCGGAGGGCTGCCCCCTCCCACCACGCCAGCCCAGCCGCCGCCAGCGGCCCTCGCACCTCCCCCCTCCCCTCCAGGCCTTTGTCCCTTCCGGCCCACAACCCCCCCCCCGCCCCGCCCCAGCGGCCTCGCCACCTCCCCACAAGCTCTCCTTTCCGCAGGACCCGGACGGCGCAGGCCCCGCGACCTGCAGGGGCAGCCCCTTCCCCCTCCAGCTCACACTCCGCCCTGCCCCCACTCGGCAGCCCCCAACCCTCCCCCCACCTCCCTCACCCTGCAGGTCGGCCGGTTCCTCGGCGTCGCTGGTGCTGGCTGGGCTGTCGTCGAAGCCCCAGGCCGCCCCGGTCAGGAGCAGGGCCCCCAGCAGGGCGAGCAGGGTCTGGAACCGCCGTAGCTGCTGCCCCATCCTGGGCCCGGCTCGGACCGCCCCGCGCGAGCCGCTGCCGCCGCCGACCGTTGGGGGGGAGGGGATGGGAACGAAGGGCTCGCGCCGCCGCCGCCGCAGCAGCTGATTGGACGGTCTCCGCGGCTCGCGCACAGGTGGGGGTGGGGACGGTTCGGTCAGAGGCTCGCGCCGCTGCCGCCGTTGATTGGACGGTCTTCGCCGCTTGCGCTCAGGTCGAGGCGGGGGAGGTTCGGTGAGAGGGGCTCGAGTAGCCCGCGACCGTTGGCTAAGGCTGGGCGTAGCGCGGGCCGCCGACGGCGTCGCTTTCGGTGTGTTCAGGCGCACGCTTACTCTCACCCCTCGCACCCGACGAGTTCGTTTCTCTTAGCCCCCCAGGAACCGTCCGGCCGCTGCGCGCACGCCCCAGCTTCTGAGCCCCAGCGCGCAAGTCGCCGCCGCCGAACGGAGGTGCTGGGAGGCGGAGGAAAGGGCGGGGTCGCACGCACCTTGGCCAGGGCGGAGCACTGCGCATGCGCGCGCCGCTAACCTCGGAGCCCTTCGCACCTGAACACCGCCCTTCCCTCCTTTCCCCCTCCTTCCGTGAGGAAGAAAGGGCGGGGCCGCTTGCACCGGGTTGAGGACGGAGGCGCTGCGCATGCGTACGCCGCTAAACCCCGGCTCCCTCCGCACCTGGACGCCGCTAGTACCGCTCTTGCTCCTCCCCTCTCTTGCCTGGGTGGGGAAAAAAGGCAGAGAAGTGGTGCACACACCTTGGCGCAGGCGCAGACGCACCCTGCCCGCTCCTCCCCCTCTGCGCGCACCTGCAGTGCTCTCCCTTACTCCTCCTTCTCCTCCGTCGCCGTACCTGAGCCCCGCCTTCCGGCTAGGGCTCGGAGGGGCGGGGCATTCGGAGACCCCGCCGGAGGATTCCCCACCCCTATTTGACGGCTGTTGGGGGGACTCCCCAATAAGCTTTGCCTCTTCTTGCTGTCCCCCCAACTTCTGAGCCCCTCAACTGTCAGGGGATCCTAGTCTTAGGAAGGGATCATGGAGCTATGGGACCAGGCCGTCCTGTCTCCACCTAACAGGCTAAACTTGGTGTTTGTGGACCAAGAGAGTTCGAAGGGCCCCCCCCCCCATTACCTCCTGGCTTTCGATGCTGTAGCGGCGTGTTAGGACTTAGAATTTACCAGCGTCTGCCTTGTAGGGAGCGCTTAAGAAATGCTTCTTGAATGTATAATCGATCTTATTGGTTGCCTGTTCACGGGCTGGGGGAGGGGCGGGCGGCAGGGGGAGAATTTGGAACTCAAAATTTTTAAAATTTGATGTTAACATTTTTAATGTAATCGGGAAATATTTAAAAAAAATTGCTTGTTGACCGACTGACTAGACCTCTAATTTCATCTGTATAGGAAATTTCCAAGTGAGGAAACTCCCTTCTTCCAATGCAAATCGCCACCTTTTATGCAAGTTTTAGTCTTAGGGAGTTGTCCCTAAAGCGCTGAGGAATGGAGTGCCTTGCTAAAGTCACCCAGCTACGTCTCCCGGGGTTCAGGACAAAGCCCTCTCTTCACTAGAGCCCTGTGCCTAGTGAGAGGGAAGCTGTGAATTCTATAGGTGAAAAACATAGGTTCTGATCCTGGTTAAGTTACTTCTTCGCTGTGTGACCCTGGGCAAGGACCTTCTCTCGGTACTCAGCTTCAGATATCCCTTCTGTGAAATGGGACTAATGCTGCCCTTCTGCTTCAAAGAATTGTTGCTAATAGGGTACTTTAAATACGTCAATCTTACTGAACCGACAAACATCTACAAGTGTCCCAAAAGTCTTAAAGTTTTAAAAAGTTTTAAGCCGTGGCTTAAAACTTCCCTCAGACTTTTGGGACGTCCTGTATTAAGAATACCAAGCCCCCAAACCAAAAGTGGGACATTCCTTATCTTCGAGGAGCTGACATTTTAGAAGGAAAAGGGCCACCAAACATCCACCAATTAGTAAGTGTCCGTTATATATAATGGGGGGAGGGTAGCGGAGGAATCAGGAAAGGCCTCTGGAGGAAGGCGGGCCTCAGGCTGAGGGGAGCCCTAGTAAACATTCTGCCATAAATCGAGGAGGGGCGGGGGCGGGAGCAGGGTGTTTTAGGTCTTTCTGCGGAGAGTGGATAAAGCAAAAGTCAGTTAGTATTTCTCTGCCTGGAGGCGGAGGACCTAATAGCTTCCACCTACTCCGCGGATCATCCACCAGAGGTCGGGGAAGCCCCACTGCAGATAGGTCAACCCTGCCCCCGTAGGGCCTTGCCCATCTGGGAACAGCTGGCTCCAGCTGGGTTTAGAGCATCCGGAGAACGAACAGCTCCCGCACCCCCAATTCTCCGGGTGGAGGGCCAAACTACAGAGTGAGGTGAGATGGGGCTCGGTCACTGGGCACCCTCATAACCACTGAGGGGGAGGGGGCAGTTGGTTGCTCTGGGTAGCCTTGGTCCCCAGCGAGGGCTGAGAAGAGTCGGGAGAGGGCCATGAAAGGGGGTGGTGGGCGGGACAGAGAACTGGGCTGAGAGGTGGGGGCGGGTCCTCGGGATCCTGGGTCCTGCTCCAGGCTCCTTCTCCCATCTCCACCCCCTCCTCCCAGGCCCCGCCCCCTTCCTCTCGCCCTCCCCACTCCCCTTTTAAGACTGGCGGGCTGCTGCCTCTCTTGTCTGTCATCCCTAGGGGGGCCACCGCAGGGGATGGCTGCTCAGAGGCTCGGCAAGCGGGTCCTGAGCAAGCTGCAGTCACCGTCCCGGGCCAGGGGCAGTTCTGATGGTAGCCCTGGAGGCCTGCAGAAGCGACATGCGCGAGTCACTGTCAAGTACGACCGGCGGGAGCTGCAGCGTCGGCTGGACGTGGAGAAATGGATCGACGGGTGTCTGGAGAAGCTGTACCAGGGCAGGGTGAGGCCGGAGCCCCAGGGAGGGATGGGGAGAAGGATGCAGGGCACCCCAAGCCTGGGGAGGCTGTCGTTTGCATCTGCTTTTGGCACGGTTTCCCTGGCCTCTTAGTGCCTTACAATGTTAGAATGTACGAGTCCCTGAATCTTCGAAGGTCCGAACTGGAAAGGACCTTAAAGAATATGTAGTAGAACCCCTCCCCTATCCCCTAGTTTGGCAGATGGGTAACTAAGGCTTAGAGAAGCTAAACTTGTCCCAAAAGCCAAAGTGGTTGTCTTTTTCCTTCTCAGTGTCTATTCCTGTCTGTCCTCCTCCGCTCCCCTCCCGGAACCAACCTCTCCGTTATGCTTCTGCCATTGCCCCTGTCCCCCCTGGGGCCTAGCCTACTCCCCTGTCCCCCTTTTCCTCTCCATCCTCCACCATCCATCCCCCTTTCTAATGACTCTACCCCTATGACCCTGCAGTGTGACAAGGACCAGGGGAAACCAACATGATAGACCAGAAATAATAGGGATAAACTTTACATATAGGCAGGTATACACATAGCCTGTGAAAAAGTTAATGGTGTCAACGTGGGCACTGGGTGATACAAACAAACATATATGCAAGTAATAGACACTTCTGGGGACACACACGCTCAAAGACACCCTCACAGAAAGAAGTAGCTATATACTCACAGAGTAATAAACCCAAAGGCCCAAGGAGATATATACATGCACAGGGGAATAGCCATGACCATGAAGGGACCCATGAACCATCACAAAGACAGCAGTTTTCCCCCATCCCTGGACGTACTAGACACTACAGCCTTCTTCTTGGTCCTGGGCCAGCCTCATAAGCCAGCAGGAACCTATGTAAACAACACTTCTTTCTGCCTGGAGCAGGAGAATGTTTGGTGTTTGGGAGAAGGGCTGGAAGATTTCCAGAAACCAGAGTTCCTGATCTCCCAGTCTGGTCCAGCCTACCCACCCCCCATGCCATGGGGATTGGGGGGATGGGGAAGGTAGAGCCAGGAGACAGCTGATTCTCCCCACCCCGCCACTGACAGCTCCAAGGCAGGCAGTATGCTAGCCTCCCCCTGCTTCCCCCTGCCTCCTGTCTCCCTTCCCTGGGGCACAGCTGGGCCCTGTCCCTGGAGGCTGGCAGGAAGCCAGACCAGAGACTGGGCAGATAGCCCAGCCCCCAGTGCTAAGAACTGCCAGGTGCCCCCCAATCCTACTCTCCACCCAGTAGGGTGATCAGAGACAGCAGGGAGCTCTCCTGGGGACACACAGCATCATCTTGGGGTGGCAAATGACTTTGGGTCCCCTCTTGAATTCTCAGGCTGAGTGCCCTCTCTTTTATTCTCACTCCCAGAGTCCCCAGAGGACCCAGGCATCCTGGAGCTGGGATCCAAAAGAACAGCTCCAGTTCCATTCCACTCTCCCCTCCCCCGCCCCCCTCCTTTCTCCCCAGCTCAGACTTTTCCATGAAAGGGCAGAGTCAGGGGCCTCTGGCTAGGGACCCAGGAGACTTATCTCTCCCCACCCCCACCCCAACCTCAAATCCAGGCCCCTGGCATTCTCAGGCAGGACTGAGCCTGCTTCCTGGCTGGCTCTGGGATTCCAGCTTGGACACTAGATTCCTCTGCCACCCCATTTGCCCCGAGGACCCCTCTTTGTCTCCCCCCACTTTGCTGTTGGAAGTTCCTAAGGTGGTCTGGGACTTAATCTGTAGCCCCTTCCCCTGTCCCCTTCCAGGATACATAGGATCAGAGGAAGAGAGTGCCTTAGATTTGGCAATATTCTCCAAGTCCTCCTAAACTCACCTAGAAGGAGCCAGAGATGTGGGCAGAGTTAGGTACCTGGGGAGCTTCCCCACGAGGAAGGCCAGATTTCTGAAGTGAAGGACTCTCAAAACTAGAAAGGAATCCTCAAGGCATAGGAAGGCCTCAGTGGTGATGGGAGGGGCAGTATTGTGTGTGTTTGTGGGGGAGGAAGTTTGGTGCCTTCCCTCAGTGCTTGGCCCAGATGGTCACGCCTGGTAGTACCATCTCTGCATGGCACATGCCCCTGCCTAGAGTGAGACCTAGTCAGCTGGCCATCCTCACCACCCCAAGAAGGAGCTCTGGCATTTTCTGGGTCCCAGAGGGACAAGAGGTGGAAGAGTTTTGGGGAGGGGGAAGAAAAGAAAGAGATAGATGAGAGACTTGGGGGGTCCCCAAACCCTAACTGACTCCTGACCTCCTTTCAGGAGGAAGAAATGCCCGATGAAGTCAACATTGATGAATTATTGGAACTAGAGAGTGAAGAGGAGAGAGGCAGAAAAATTCAGGTATGTATCTCTTCCCCCATTAGATTGGAAGCTCCTTGAGGGCAGGGACTGTCTTTTGCCTCACTTTGGTATCCCTGGTGCTTAGCACAGTACCTGGCACATAGTAGGCATTTAATAAATATTTATTGACTGAGTGGTCAGTGACATAGAGAACAAGAAATGGAAAGGGAGCTTTAGGGTTTTGGGGGACAGTGAGAGAAAGAGAGGCTGCTGGGAATAGGGCAAGGGAAGGAGATTAAAGGCTAGATGACTTTGGGGCTATCCCTATCATGTTTTCCCCCTCACACTTGGGGAGAAGCAGTAGATCTGCCTTTACTTTCACTCTTGCTCTGGAAATCGGCATGAAAAGCTTCTGTTTCTGTTTCTCTGAGGCCCTGCTGTCACAATGGGAGTTGGGGGTATGGAGGAATTATATGATGGGGAGAGATTGGTTTGTGTATCTCATGTATTTTTTTGGGGGGGGGTTCAGGGAATCTTGAAGACCTGCAGGAACCCCACAGAGGTAAGTTCTGCCCCCTTGTCCTTGGGTCCAGAGAAGGCAGGAGAGGTGGAGAAATGAATATCTCCTCCATTCGCAAGCCTGCCTGCCCCCCAAGCTTTACCCAGGCTCTCTCTCCTTTCCCTTTCTCCCCTAGTCCCAATTTTCTGCCTCTGCAGCCCTGTCCTCTCCTCTTCTCCATCCCCTCTCCTCCCCTCTGTGTGTGTGTGTCTCTCTCTCCCTCTTCCCCCCTCTTCTTCTTCCCCCCTCTCTCTCTCTGTCTCTCTCTCTGTCTCTGTCTCTCTTTCTCTGCCAGACCTCTCTCCCACCCCACCCCCTTTCCCATAGCCCATCAATCACTGGAGGGTTGGAGGTTGGAGGTGGGGGTGGGGTTAGTTTTTCCTCTTATTTCCTTCCTCCCTCCCTCCCCTTTTCATGCAGGATTTTGCCAAGGAGCTGGTCCTGAAGCTTCGGGGGCTTCACAAACAGCCAGGCCTTCCCCGGGGCAGTCCTTCAGATGACTCAGATGGGGGTGGCATAAGCCCAGTCCAGGATCAAGCCAGGAGAGCCCCTCGCTGACTGACCCCTCTCCCTTTGAGGCCCTGGAGAGATGGTATATTCCTGTCTGTACGTTCCCCACATCCTTCTGCCTGGGACTATGTTTATAAATTGTATTTTATGTTGTTCTAAAAAGAAAAATGTGTTTGTGGTTCAGGCATTGACTCCCCTGAGGTTATTTTATCTTTCCCTCAATTCTCTTTCTCTTGATGCTTTTTTTCCCTGCCAGCCCTTCCACCCAGCTGTCCCTGGACTAATGGGGACAGATGGAAAATCAATTGAGCCCCCACCCCCAGGAGAAGGGAGTATGAGAACAGAGCACAGCTGGACTCCCTGGGGACCCTGGGCTCCCTACCTCCTGGCTCCTGGCCTAAGCACCATCTCTGTCTTCCTGGTCAGTGTCCTCCTCCTTTCCTTTCTTGAAGGATGATGCATCAATTTATCCTAGAATCCTAGGACAGAGAGTTGGAAAGGCTCCCCAGGGTCTTCCAGCCCAACTTTCTCATGTATTTAATTGCTAAGAAAACTGAGTCCAAGAGAAGGGAAAGGACATGTTTCCGCTTTCTGTCCCCAGTGTCAGATAGCAGGGACCCAGCAGCAGGCTGTGGTCAAAACTGGAAAGCTGGAGCTGGGAGCCCCGAGGTGGGGGTGGGAGGAAAGTGCAACAGGGGAAGAGAGCAAGCCCTCATAGGCATGGTGCCCCAAGCAGGGGGATGGAGGATAACAGCCCACAGATGGAGCCACTGCCCAGTGGGGCAGCCACCATCAGAAGCCCTTTGTGCTACATCTGAATGAATGCACCAGAACCATCCTCAAATTCAGGAGAAAGTCCAGGCTGGGCTGGTTATCAGACTGGAGGAGAATCGCCAGGAATGGAGGTGGGATTGGGGGGTGGGGCAGAGAAAGTAAATAGGCAACTGGGTGTAGGAGACACTGGGGGGGAAATAAGAGGGTATAGGAGCATAGAATGTCAAGCTGAAAGGGACCTCAGAGGTCTATTCCATGTTCCCCCACCTTCTTACTATCTAGCACACCTCTCCCCTCCCCCCTTCATTTTTTAGAAAGGAGGAAACTGAGGCCTAGAGAAATGAAGTGACTTGCCCAGGGTCCCACAAATAATACATTTCGGAGGTGGGATCTGAATCCAGGTGTATTGCACTGTAAGAGACTGGCTCCTGAAGCTGGAGGGGAAGGAAAGAGGGAAGAAATGAGGAAGAGGGGCCAGACTCCCAACTAGGGTAAATGGAAACCTTGAAGAAGTTGGCAGCTGAAGGAGGAGCTATGATAGGAGATGCGTGAAGGCTGGAACCTAGGAGGTCAGAAAGGTCATTGAGGGAAGTGGGAAGTGAGTTGGGGAGGGGGAAGTAAGAAAGAAGAGGCTGGGTAGTTGGGGAGGATAAGAATGTGGGAAAGAGGAACCGGAAGGGAGATAGTGGTGATGGTAGGATAGGGTGCTGAGGACTACGGCAACCAGTGGGAGCCACCAATGATGAGTCTCGGGACAGGGACGGAGAGGAGGCTGAGGTTGTGGAATGGGGGAATAAGGGATGGGGGTGGGGAGATGAGGTCTGAAGAATCAGGGTTTGGGGTTGGGAGGGAGACCAAAGAAAGGGAAATACCCAGAAGAAGCTTGGGGACTGTGGTGCCCGGAGTGTAAGCCATCCAATGGGGAGGTGAATAGAAGGCAGGGATGAATGAAGGGGAGCAAGAACAGGGAAGAGATTGGGAACTAGGGCCAGTGACCTAGAGATACCAGTGCTTGGAGCATGGGAGCATCAATGGAAAGTGATAGAGGGAAGCTATGGAGGAGGTCAGGGACAGAGAAGAAAGAGGGTAGGGAAGGAAGCACACTGGTCCTGGTATCAGAGGACCTGGGTTCAAATCCTGATTCTGCTACTTACTAGCGGGTGACCATGGGTAAGACATTTCATCTGTCTAGGCCTCAGTTTCCTTATATGTAAAATGAAATTGCTAGATCAGATGTCCTTTGATTTCCCTCCTAGTTCTACATCTATGCTCCTATAATCCTATAATTTGGGGGCTAGAGCTGATTGGTGGAGAGAGGACAGAAAGTGGAAGGTAGCAGTCAGGTTGGGGTGGCCTGAATAGAGATGAAATCAGAGAGTAGCGGTAAAAGACCTGGGAGGTTTTGGGGTATGGGAGAAAGTGATGGGAAATGCCCAATGGGAGGCAGGGTTGGGAGTAGGGAGGAACCCTTGACCTGGAGGGATGATGCCAATGTGTGGGTAAGAGTTGCAGTAGGAGATTGGGGAGGTTAGGGGGAAGGGAAAGAGGACAGCTAACAAGGCCACTTGCTCCTTGGATCATTAGACCTACCTCAGCACCTGTGAGTTTCAGGAAATGAGGGAGATGAGGAAATTGACGGTGGGAAGGGTGGGGATGACTACAGCCTTGACTCAGTAGCTGGGTGGGGGTGGATGTCCTCAAGTCTCTCTGTCTGCACCCACACCCTAATTGTCTTACAGCTCTTTAGGGGAATCAGACTGACTCCCTGGCCTCTCACTTCTAGCTCCTCACTCCCTTCAGCCCCAGCCCCAGCCCCCAAAAGACAAGGGAAGTAGACAGGGACAGACAGATGACCCAGGGCTCTCTGCCACCCTCTTTTCCTTCTTACCAGTGAACTTTCTACAAGAGCCAAGAAGTCTGCTCCAGTTAGGGGGTGGGGGGCAAGGAGGAGATCTGGGATTGTCTTGGGGCTTAGGGGCCTCTTCCTAATGTAGATAAAGAGACCAGACCCCAGAGGTAAAAGTATTGCCATCCCAGTCCTCGGTCCTCATGTTCTCCCACCCACCCTGCCCCTCAAGTTTCCACAAGGACTTTGAAATTTCCATAACATTCCAAACATAACAGCCCTGTGAGGCAAGAAGAGTGCATATCATTCCAACTGAACAGAAGAGGAAACTGAGGTGGGGAGAAAGTGAAATGGCCTGTCCAATATTACAGAGCTAAAAAATCAGTTGCAAGATTGGAACTAGCCCCGCTTCCCAACCAATGTTGTTTCAACCACACCCACAAATAACACTATCTAAGAGGTGGAGGGGTGAGTATTCACCACTCCTCATCTATTTACAACTATAACCAAGAGCAAGCAGCTCCTCCCCCACCTCAAGCAGGAAGCTGGCTCCCACTCTGGGCAGTTCTCCCAAGAGCAGATCGTGGCCCACACCACTCCCCTGCCCCCAACTTAGGAACCGGCGTCAAGTTCTCTTGTGACCTCCCAGATTTTCCTTCCGTCCCTCCCTGTACCCTTGAGTGTCCCAAGCACCCAATAGGCAGTGTCTTCCCTGGAAAGCAAGCTCAGACTCCCCCTTGTGGCCTCATTGGCACTGGGAATGCTGTTGGAGAGCCCCAGTCTTCCTGGATTTCTGGCCAGGTGTACCCTGGACTCTTATATCATCCCCACCTCAATTCCACCAGAGCTAACCTAATTCATGTAGGGCACTCATTTAGGGAAGCCCACATGACCCTACTTCTTATAGACCCAGGGGGGAAACTATTGCTTTAGGGGATGGGTTTCCCCCACATGACCTGGAGATTGGATAAAGAAAAGGCCTGGGGCAAGCCTCACCTTCTCTAGTATTCCTATAGAGTAAACAAAAACTGAGGTCCTGAGGGGAGAAACTGGTTCAAGGTCAGACCTTCAGTCAGGAGCTGCAGGCAGAGAGCCCTCACTGGGCTGGTTCTCCTGGTTCCATGAGGTGCCAAGTTGGGAGAACTGAGGCCTATTCCTGGTATGGCTGGTTTGCTCCCTGGAAAGGAGTTCATGATGGGAAACCCTACCATGCAATCTGCCTAGGGCAAAGGATGTGGTTAGATAATCAATGGGTCAAAAGCCCAAGAAGACCTTTGAAAGCCAGGCCCCAGAGTCTGGGTTGTCAGTTCCCAAAGAACAGGATGCCCCATGAATCAATCAGAGGCGGGGTGACTAGCATGGTATAGAGCGCTGGACTGGGAATCAGGAGGGCCAGGTTTGAATCCTGCAGATAGATAGGTTTTCAATAGTCATTTAATCTTAGCCTCTATTTCCTCATCTGTAAAATGGGGATAATAACCCATAAAGGGGTAGTCTAGCTGATTTCTGAGGACCCCCCCCCCCGGCTTTAAGGCCCACAACCCTAGTTAGGAAAGTTCTGAAGTGAACTCTTGTCAGTGGTAGGGAGATTAGGCTAGCTGTCCCCTGTTCCCTGAGGTTTGCACCTCCTCCTTCCAACATTCAAGCCGTGAGCTTCAATGTCACTTTCAAGTAAATGAGACCTTGGTCTTAAAGGGCCTTATAGCCTACTTGTAGAGATAGACTATTTCTGGGCCAAGTATGCCTCAAGGGCACAAGTTTCCCACCCCTGCTCTATCCCATTTACTGCTCAACATTCAAAGGCCAATTTGTAAAACACACACACACACACACACACACACACACACACACACACACACACACTTTTTAAGATTTTATTTTATTTTCAGTTCCAAATTCTCTCTCCCTCACTCATTAAAAAGGCAAAAACAAAGCATTACAAATATACAGGTATATCTCATTGTATTGCTCTTTTCCTTATTATATTTTGCAGATATTGTGTTTTTTATGAATTGAAGGTTTGTGACAACCTCATTCTGAGCAAGTCTATCGGCACCATTTTTCCAACGGCATGTGCTCACATCATGTCTCTGCGTCACATTTTGGTAATTCTCACAATATTTCAAAGTTTTTCATTATTCTATATGTTATGGTGATCTGTAATCAATGAGCTTTGATGTTATTATTGTAATTATGTTGGGGACCTGTGAACTGTTCCCACATGAGAAGGTGATTTTAATTGATAAATGTCTGCTCTGACTGCTCCACTCACCAGCCATTCCCTCATTTCTCACCGTTCTCCTCAGGCCTCCCTATTCCCTGATATTGAAATTAGGCCAATTGATAACCCTTCCATGGCTTCTAAGTGTTGACATGAAAGGAAGAATCAACTGATTTGGCAAACTTCATTGCTATCTTAAGAAATTGCCACAGCCATCCCAGCCATCAGCACCTACCACCCTAATCAGTCAGCCAACAGCCAGCACCATCAAGGCAAGACCTTCCACCAGCAAAAGCTATTAGCATTTTTTTAAAGCAATAAAGTAGTTTTAAATTAAAGTATGTACATTATTTTTTAGACATAATACTATTGCATATTTCACAATATAGTATAAACATAACTTACATATGCACTAGGAAACCAAAAAATTTGTGTGACTTGCTTTATTGCAATATCCACTTTATTGTGGTGGTCGGAACCAAACCCAAAATGTCTCTAAGTTATGCCTGTATTTTTGTTGTTTGTCCCGTCATTTTTTAAAAAGTCACACCTGACCCTTTGTGATCGCATTTGGGGTTTTCTTGGCAGAGACACTGGAGTGGTTTGCCATTTCCTTTTCCAGCTCATTTTATAGATGAGGAAATTGAGAGAAACATAGTTCAGTGACTTGCCCAGGGTCACACAGCTAGTACGTGTCTGAAGCCAGATTTGAACTCAGCAAGATGTATTCCTTGATTCCAAAGCCAGCACTGTATCTGCTGCACCACCTAGCTGTCTGTATATAATCATGCGAAACAAATTTCTGCATTAAACATATTCCCCCACCCCCACCCCAACAAACAAACAAAAAACCAGAAACTATTCTTTGATCTGCCATCTGAGTCTATCAACCCTCTATTCAGAGATGAATAGCATGTTTCATTATGAGTCCTTTGAAATTTTATTGGTCAAAGGTACTAAGTCTTTCAAAGTTGATTATCTTTATAATATTGCTTTTATTGTGTAAATTTTTTCTCCTGGTTCTGCTCACTTCACTTTGCATCAGTTCATGCAAGTCTTTCCAGGTTTCTCTGAAAACATCCCTGTCATCATTTCTCACAGCACAATAGCATTCCATCACAAGCATACACTTGTTCAGTTGTTCCCCAATGGATGGGCATCCCCTCAGTTTCCAGTTCTTTGCCACCACAACAAAAGCTATTGTAAATATTTTTGTACACATAGGTCCTTTTCTCCTTTCTTTGATCACTTTGGGGGTATAGACCTAGTAGCCATATTGCTGGACCAATTGGAGTTTAATGTCTTCTGGGGCACAGTTTCAAATTCTCAAAGCCTGGTTCTGAAATATGCTTAGTCCCAGCTGCTCCAGAACCAGGCCAGCTTATGCCATCGGAGGCAGGAGCTTAATCTTCAGTGATAGAGGGAGCTCAGCAGGCCTTAGGCTAATGTAATTTTAGAGACAAGTGGGACATTAGTGTCCAGTATCTTCCTTCTTTGTCAGGCAAAAGCTTCCTAAATGTTGAGCCTGTGAGACTCAGGTGAACATATTCCACTGCCAGGTTATCATTGAGCCTCTGCTGAACCCCAACCCGAAAGTGTTCTGTGCTGGATTGGGCTGTGTTGTGTTGGGAGAGAAACAGAAAGAGCTGATCCGGGTCCTGCCCTTGGGAAGTTTCCAGTCTAAGAGATGAGAAGAGGATATGGAGTTTATATTTATATGACTTGTTATACAGTCCTAATGCATCTTGTTATGTACACAGTGAGTCTTGTCAAATATTCACGACACATTTGGTTACATATAATGGATCCATATAATGAATCTTCTCATATGTACATAATGTCTTCTTATGTGTAATATATCTTGTTACCTATACACAGTATCTTGGCACAGCTAGGTGACTCAGTGAACAGAGCTCTGGGCCCGGATTCAGGAAGACCTGAATTCAAATCAGGTTTCAGACACTTACTAGCTGTACGACACTGGGTAAATCACTTAGCCTGTCTGCCTCAGTTTTTTCAACTGTAAAATGGGGATAATAACAACACCTAGCTCACAGGGTTGATTTGAGAGTAAAATGAGATCATATTTGTAAAGCACTTAGCATAGTACCCAGTGTATGGCAAGCCCTAAATAAATGCTTGTTATCTCATCCCCGTATACTTCACCTTGTTACATGTATATTGTGTATTTTGTTACATGTGTCTCGTGATTCATTGTGTTACATGAAACAGGTCTGACCCTATTCTGAGGCTACCCAGCACTCTACCATCTTAGACCCACGGAACCATCAAAGAGAGACATAGTATCTATAGCTAAGGGTGGTGGCCACATGGTGCCATGTGAGGATTTTGGAGAAGTGAGGGATCAGAGTGTCTCTGAGGAGCTGGGGCTCCTTACAAGGGGTCACTCCACATACAACCTCCAAGGACATTGCAGCCAAATCAGCCTATTCTTGATGCTTCATGTCCCTCCTCCATTCCTTTGCCCAGGCTGGGCTCCTTACCTAGTATGCACTCCCTCATCATCTCTGCCTCATAGAAGCTCTAGCTCCAGTTCGAGTACCACTCTCTACACAGTTGTTAGTCTACACACACACACACGCACGTGCGTGCACACATACACACACAGATACCAATTTATATTTACTTAGATAGTTTTCTGTTGTTTCCCTACATTAGAATGCTCCTTGAAGTCACAGACTATTTCACTTTTCTCTGTGTCCTCAGTGCCTAGCACAGAGCCTGGTGCATGCTTGTGGAGGTGAATTGAACTAGATGAGAACTTTTGCTTTTCCTCTGAGGCAAACACTGAGCCAGCCCAGACCTCTCTCTCAAGCTGAGCCCTAGCCAGCCATCTCTAACTTTCCTCTGGCTGCCTGCCGTTCGTCTCCCTGGTCCCTTCTACTCACTGTTTCCAGAGCCCAACACAACATCAAACCACAAGGTCTCTTCTCCCTGCTTTCCCCATCTTTGGCGAAGGCTTCAGCATCTTCCCAGTCACCTGCCTCATTCTCCCTCACCCCCCCCATGCAATCCAATCCACCTCTGCAATATCTCATACCTATTCCCTCTCTCTATTCTCACTGCCTCCTTTCCAATAGATTGGGCCACATAACCTCTCACTTGGAATCTCTTAATAGCCTCTTGACTTGTCCCTACCTCTGTCCCTACCACAGGATGTCATGGTAGATGAATCTTCCTAATGCACAGCTTGTATTACCTCTCACCTTTGTTCAGGAACATTCAGTGGGTTCTGCTGCCCAAAGAATCCTCTTACCCTGGCCTTCAAGGCCCTTCTCAATCTGGCCCCAACTTGATCTTATCTCAGACCACTTGCTCTAAGTGCGCGAGGATTCAGCCCAACTGGATCCTAAATAAATCCTCTGTTCTCCTGCCTCTACAGTTTGGTCCATCCCATTCTTTTTTATTTTTCTTTTTAGGCAATTGGGGTTAAGTGACTTGCCCAGGGTACTCTACCCACTGTGCCATCTAGCTGGCCCCATCCCATTCTTTATACCCAGAATGATCACACCCACCCTCCTCTGTGCTGTTCTCTCCACCCCAAGGCCTGTTGAAATCCTATCTACCCTTCCTGGTCTGGTTTAGCAAAAAGAGCCTTGGGCTTGAAGCTCAGAGCTTGAGAACATCAGAGGGTAGAGGGACCTTAAAGACTGTCTTGTTCATTCTCTCATTGACCAGATTGGTAGGCTGAGGCCTGAAGAATGGAAGGGGAGAAAATGGGGGAATACCTTCTTGCTCTAAACAAGTCCAAGTGGCCAGGCCAGGACAAAATATATACCAGGAGTCCTGAATGAAACTACAGGTGGGATTTGGAAATCCTGTAGCAGAGGGGAAGTGTCTGAGGATGAGAGATAGGCAAAATGCTTCTCTCATTTTCAAAAAAGGGAAGGATAATGGATTCTGCAAATTGAGCCAATGAGCTGGACCTTGATCCCCAGAAACAAATTCAAAATGGACAACTAAAGGGAAGCTTTGGGAGCATTTAGAAAGGGGAGGGCTAATTCCTTGGAATCAATATAAGTTCCTCAAAAAGAAGCCATGACCATCTAACCCCATCCCCTTTTTTGGTAGGATCACTGGACACAGGTAGGTAAATCAGAGGAAAGATGGGGCAATAATGTCCTTGCATTCCAGTGAGGATCACAAGATCATGGACTGAAGGCTGGGAAGGGACCTCCAAGGCCACCAAGTCTGACCCCCTCATTTTACAGATGAGGTAATTAAGGCATAGAGTTAAGTGATTTGCCCAAGGCACACAACTCCAGTCTTCCTGACTCCATGTCCAGTATTCTGCCATCATCATCATCATCATCATCCCAACCATCACCACCACCATCAGCAGCAGCAACAACCACAACAGCATTTATATGGGCACCTGGGTGGCAAGGGCCTGGAGTCAGGAAGATTCATCTTCCTAAGTTCAAATCTGGCCTCAGACACTTCCTCACTGTATGATCCTGGGCAAGTCACTTAACCCTGTTTGCCTCAATTCCTCAGCTATGAAATGAGCTGGAGAAGGAAACGGTAAACTGCTCCATTATCTTTGCCAAGAAATCCCCAAATGGGGTCACAAAGAGTGGGACATGACCAATCAACCTTTATTAAGTGCCAACTATGTGTCAGGCACTGTACATATAATTAATGGAAAGAAAGACAGTCCCTACCCTCAAAGAATTTACAATCTAAAGGGGGAAACAACACAGAAAGATGCAGGAAAGTGTGTGGGGGAGGGGAAGGATGGGACACCAGAGGTGCCTTGTTCCATGGATTTGAAACTAGGCAGGGCAGCGGATGCAAAGTGGAATGAGCTAAGTCCAGTTTCTGCCTTCTGTAAAGGAAGATATTAGGAAGAGACTGGAAGCTGAGGGAGATGGTGTTTGAATTAGGCAGACGTGGCGAGTTTAAATGTGATGAGCTTATCCTGGAGGGGTGTGTGTGTGTGTGTGTGTGTGTGTGTGTGTGTGTGTTTGTCTCCTGTTTCATTGAGTTAAAACCAGACAGAGCAACAGAGGCAAAGTGGAATGACAAC